TCTCTCTCTCCGCTCCGCCCTCTCTCTCGCTCCTCCCTTGGAATCGCGCTCTCTCTCCGCTCCCTTCCCGTCGCGCTCTCTCTCTCCGCTCCCTTCCCATTGCCCTCTCTCTTTTTGCTCCCTTCCCATCCTCCCTTCTCGCTCGCCTCGAATAGCCCTCCCGGCGACCTTCGACTCTTCCATCACGTATGCCCTCCTTTCTCCGTCGCCTCTCTCGTTCTCCCTCTGCTATCGCGTCAGCGGGACCCATTCCGTACTCTGTTATTGTGTATGGTTTGTTTGTTTTTTCTGTCTTTCCATCTATTCTCGACACCCTCTCTCCCACCGCCTATCCTTTCTCCCGTGGCCTATCTTTTCTCCCGTCGCCCTCCCGTTTCCCGTCGCCCTCCCGTTTCCCGTCGCCCTCCCGTTTCCCGTCGCCCTCCCTTTTCCCGTCGCCCTCCCGTTTCCCGTCGCCCTCGCGTTTCCCGTCGCCCTCGCGTTTCCCGTCGCCCTCCCGTTTCCCGTCGCCCTCCCTTCTTCCGTCGCCCTCCCTTTTCCCGTCGCCCTCGCGTTTCCCGTCGCCCTCCCGTTTCCCGTCGCCCTCCCGTTTCCCGTCGCCCTCCCGTTTCCCGTCGCCCTCGCGTTTCTCGTCGCCCTCCCGTTTCCCGTCGCCCTCCCGTTTCCCGTCGCCCCCCTTCTTCCGTCGCCCTCCCATTTCCTGTCGCCCCCTTCTTCCGTCGCCCTCCCGTTTCCTACGCCCTCCCTTCCCGTCGCCCTCCCGTTTCCCGTCGCCCTCCCTCTTTCTCTTCATTCGCGTCACCTTGCCCATCATAATTTCCCCCCTAGTGCTGTTTTTCTCTTCTGTTTCCCGTTATTGCACCTCTCCCAAGCCTCACGTCCAAGGCAGCACATTGATCAGAGCTCTACTAGCTCTAATAACGTTCAAACACTTTCACTCTCATCACGTACATGTGTGTCTGCTTGGGATTTAGCGTGAGATGTTGCTAGTTGTGAATTTGGTGAAGTATTGGCTCTAGTGAATGCAGGAGTGCTCGTCGCTCAACTTTGCGCCAAATTCGCACATGTGTATGTGAGAGAACCTGGCTGCCAATCAGAATTGACAATGAACTATTGTTCCTGGTCCAATAAGAAACTCGTCCGAGGGTCGGAAAAAAAAGTACACATACAGCAATTCCAACATTCCAAAACAAAACAAAAATACTTCATCTTCAAGTGGACCCAACCAGGGCTAATTTTTTGTTTTAAGCAACCCTTATCATCAGTCCTGCACCTTAGCAATACTCTGATTATCAGTGTGACCCCTAGGGAAAATTCTTTTCCATCAGGGTTTTCCATAGTTTCAAAAAATTTACCCATTTAGAAAGCTTGCTTTCTCTTACTTATCATTTGGCATCGTTCTCATTTCAACTGGCATCGTTCTCATTTCAACTGGCAAATTACAACATGCACCTCGAGCTAGGAAACAGAAGTGCTAGTACATGTTACTATCTGCGTATCAATCATTGTACTAGCGATTCATCATGCTACTTGATGTCTATCATGCTACAAGCTATCGATCTTCTCGTTCAAGCAGCGTCGATGATGCCCGTCAGTGTTGGGGCGGGGGGTGGGAGAGTTGCATGAGCCGTTGGAAAACGAGAGACGTGGGTGGAGGGAAATGAGCTCCAACCCAAGATTTGTAGTTGGAGAAGGGCGTTTAGCGCGCTTCGACGATGCCAAAACATGCGTTACAAGCAGCTGCGCTTTCGAAATACGTAATTTTGAAAAACACTTCGTGTGTTTAAAAATTATAATATTTAGAAAGCTTGCTTTCTCTTACTTATCATTTGGCATCGTTCTCATTTCAACTGGGGTTCTTGAGACATGGGTAGCCGGGGCTTCCGATGACGGATGAGTGCCTCTGCGTGCTGTGCTGAGGACGGGGCATGATTCAGGTCCTGCAACTGGCGGGAGGCGTTGATGAGATGTTCGGCATTTGGCGTGACGTACATCTCCTTGGCTGCGTCACTACGCCATCGGCCCAGCCGTTTGAAGATTCTGTCTGGCACGCCGGTGTTTGCCGCGGCAGTGGCTGCACCCTTGCGAAAGGAATGAGTGCCCAGCTGTTGTTCTCCAAGTCCGATCTTCCCAAAGGCCTCTTTGCACCAGTTTCGGATTGTCGGATACGACGGTGGCCTTGATTGGCCACCTTGGGTGGAACCATGACCGAAGGTGCGAATCAGCGGCCCCCTTGATTGCTGATCGTATCCGGCGAGTCGAATGAGTCGTTGAGTGCCGCGGACAGGGCAGAACGGATCGTGTGTTGCGGCGATAGGTATCCATGTGCCTTTTCCAGCTTGGTCCGTCTTGGAGTACGGAATTAGGATCCACATGACCTCGTCGTCAAACTGGATGTCTTGCCACTCGATGGCGACGAGGTCTGAGTATCGCAGGAATCCGGAGTACATGAGAATGGGGATGAGCCCCTTCTGGAATTCGCCGGGGTTGTCAGATCGCAGGTATCCTGCCGACATGTCACGGACTTGTTGCAGCGAGACTGGCTCCTTCACTCTCGTGGGGTGAGGGCAGTGTCGTTTCGCAAAGTCGCGTACTTGAGTGGTGAATGGTCCTGCCGTTGGGCATGCGCTCCCAGTCATGCGGTGGGCGAAGCTCACGGCTGAGCAGGTGAGTTGTACCATGGATAGGGTGGCCTTGCGTTTGATGCCGTACACCAGGTAGTGCGAGGGTCATGTCTGCCGCGGGGAGGAATGGGAGGTCCACCTTTGCACAGAAGGCTCGAAACTTGACCCAGTATGGCTCGTACGTTTGGATCGTTGAGTCAGCACGAGACTGTGAGAGCATCTTTAGAAGCTGTACTTGTAGCTTTGGAAGTACGTCTGCGCGAAGGAGGACGAGATGGGTTAGTTGAAGACCACTCGTAATGCGACGATTGTACTATGAGGCAATCCTGTGCCTGAGAAAGCGGTGCGGTGCGAGCCTACTGCTAAACATTGGCTGCCGTGCGTCACGGGAATTTGTGCTTGGATATGCGGGGCCCAGCTAGGTGGGGAGGGTTGTAGGAGTGGCCACCAGGTTGCCCCTGGCCAATGTGGGACAACGAGGGTGAGTGAGGCGTGGGTGCGTTGTGCGTGGTGGATGACTGCTGGGATTAACTGGGGTGGCGGGAACGCGAAGCCATTCTCGGTCGACCATGAAATCGAGAATGCGTCGATTGCAGTGGCTTCCGGGTGTGGTATCTTTGAGCAGAATCGTGGCAGCTGCGAGTTGTTTGGGCTTGCGAAAAGGTCGATTGAGTGGGGACCCCAGCGACGATTGAGGATGCGGAACCATGGTTGTTTCAAGGAGTAATCGTCGTGGTCGATCATTTTGGACAGCTCATCTGCATGGGAGTTTAGCTCGCGCGGGATCCATTCAACAATTAATCGAGTGCCGAGCTCCATGCACGTGCGGATGATGTCCTTGCAAGCGGTGGTGAGGTCGGGGGTGCGAGAGCTGCCTTTGCGGAGGATGAAGAAGACCCCTTGGTTGTCCACCCTCACGAGCACGTGTTTTTGCTGAACCTTGTTCGCGTACGTTCGAAGGGCCCAAAGGACGCCTTCAATTTCCCTCCGAGTGCTGGACGTCATTCGCAATGGTTCTGGCATGGCTGCGCTTGCCTCTTCGATTTCACCAGGGAAGGTGAGAAGGGTGGCGCCCCAACTATGAGAGCTGGCGTCCACGTGAATTACCGCGTCATAACTATTCCGAACGTGGAATGGTGCGCCATTAAATTTGTCGAACTCTTCAAGCCAGAACTGCAACTCTTCAGCAACGGGGGGGGAAATGCTCAAGCTGCTTCCCCAGGATGGCGCGTCGTTAATTGCTTGTAGCATGGCGTGGCTGAATGCACGCGTCGTGGCGCCGAGTGCGACGGCCATCGACGCGAGTGTGCCGGTGATTCTGGCCAGGTGGCGGACTGGAACCTGTCGGCGCGCTTTGCTTGCGTCCAGTAGGTTCCGAATGTGTGCGTGAAGTGATGCCCGTCGATCGGTGCCAATTGAGAATTGACCAGATTTGGTGTCCAACTCGACGCCCAAGAATCGCAGATGTTGGGATGGCAGCAGCTGCGACTTTTTCGCGTTAATCACCAAGCCCGCCATCTTGAGGTCCGAAATTATCTGCTGGCATGTTGCTTGTGCGTGGGCATTGGACGTGCATAAGAACAGGATGTCGTCCACATAGGGTATCACTCGAACGCCTTGTTCACGCCAGCGCCTGGCTAGTTGTTTGATGAGCTGCGTGAAGACAAATGGTGCCGTGGCGAGGCCAAAGGGTAGTGAACGGAAGGCGTACGTGCGCCCTTCAAATTCGAAGCCCAAGAATTTCCAGCAAGAGTTGTGTATGTCGATATGGTGGTATCCCGATTTGAGGTCGATGGAGAACATCCAATCTCCCATGCGTGCCAGGTCGGCCACGCGGCTTAGGCCTTCGTATTTGAATTTAGGGATGGTCAGGTGCGCGTTCACTTTTCTGAGGTCGAGGATTAGCCTGCATTTTTCTCGTTGCTCAACCACGTTGAGTGGGCTTATGCATGTGAGCTCCGCTGCTGGGGTGACCACCGCCGCGCCGGTCTCGGTAAGTTCGCGAATGGCAGTGCGTGTGAACGCAGCATGCGTGTGCGCCCCGAGGTGGTTGCGCTCGTGAAACGGTTGTGGTGGGTTGTGGCTCCATGGCAGCCAGTAACCGTTAGCGATGACAGAGAGGATGAGGCTGCTGGGGCACCACGAGCTCCACCATGCAAGGGTTACGCGAAGCCGCCCGCGCATTTGCGTGACAGATTTGTCAGTGACGGCGAACTCGTACGGATCTCCGTCGCCTAGCGTCTCGTGTCGTGTTATCTCTGCATGTTTGCCGAGTGACAATGGCGCAGAGGTGTTAGAATGCAAGCCATCGTGTCTCAGGAATGTGCATGCGATAACGCGTGCGTAGACGCATCAACAAGTCGTAATCATCGTTTG